AAGAGAGCTATTTCATTTAGGAATTTTAATCCTTAGTGGCTAAATTTAATTGATATAAATATCTTATAATATGCATATTGCATGGTAGTTGGATATGTTTTCATGCGGCACCTATTAGGGATGGTCTCATGATTGGCCAAGGGTCTGAGACGAACGTGGAGCCTTCACTTTGGCCAACTTTTTATAGTCATTCACTTTAATAGTTCTAACAGAACGGGGCTTACCATCTTAATTTTTGTAAATGAAACATTTAGCTGAAGGATAGAAAGTGAGGAGGAAAAAAAAAAAAGCAGCATTAATCCACGACGTTGGAAAATCCACGCAAATGTTTTAATCCTAATTAGCAGTCTGTAATTTACTATTTCGCCATTATGACATAAATTTCTCAAACTCGACCAAAATAGTAAAGAGATAAATAGGCTAGTTATTTTACCTCTGCAGAAAGTGATCAAGGTCTTTCTTGATAATTCTACTCCATACACATTGAGATTTAACTCCACAATAAAAATGAAATATTTAGCTAGCTTACAGCTTGCTGGTAGGAACCCCAGTAGGTGCAGCTCGTGATCTTTTCTCCACGGTCCGAGAAAGCTCTTTAACTGCATCTTTGGCCAGATGGCGAGGTCGGCTCAGCCACAGTCCTCCATCAACGATAAGGGTTGTTCCGTTTATGTACTTCCCTTCATATGATAGAAGTTGTCAGGACTTGAATATAAACAAGGTTTCTTTAAAACTAGTATAAATTAATGAGAGCAAAGCAGTAGTTGCAAAACACAAACACTTGCAGAAAAGAGAGCATCGCGTGTTGTCAAAAAGAAGAATATAAGAATATACTATGTAACAACCCGANTAGTTGCAAAACACAAATACTTGCAGAAAAGAGAGCATCTCGTGTTGTCAAAAAGAAGAATATAAGAATATACTATGTAACAACCCGACATCTATATCCAAGCCGTTAAATCATACGCATTATCCGTTTTGGGTGAGCATCTGCCCACTTATACCCTCACAGTCTTCTATTGCATCCCCCAGGCCAGGATTCAACTTAAGTCTTTCATTAGGCAGATGTCTTGAATTCGAATCCAGGGGAACGCGATAGAAAGCTGTGAGAGGATAAGTACGCTGCCTATCCAAAGCGAACATTATACATGATATAGCGGCTTAGACATAGAAGTCGGGTCATTACATAGTATCTTCTATGATCATATCCTAATTGTAAAGAAAATTAAACTATGAGACAGGAAAATGAATTTGAAACACCAATTGAAGAAAGAAAAAAGGAATAGTGCAATGGCAAGGTAATTTCAGTTTCTTCTTGTTTTTCCTTGTTCTATTTTTGGTTGGGGAGTGTGGAGGTACGGGGCACATTGATGCAACAGGCAGACAGGCAGACTCATTCCACTATGAACGACATCCCATTTTGCTTCATAGAGATGACAATGTTTTAACCATCAGAAATCCCAGCTAACACAATTAATTTAACCATCAGAAAAATTCAGTTTTAAAACTCAAATGGTCAATTAATGAGAGCAGAACAATCAAACACCTTTTGCACTTCCATCTTTTTGCTATAGAAGATGAAAGGATCAAGAATACTTTATGAACTATACTGTAGTTCTATTCAAGCATTGGAGCCAAACCTGGCTTCGAACTATTGAGGACAAAACGTATCTCCTCTTAATGTACAAAAAAATAATTTGTGTGAACCAAAAAAGTTCATGGGTAAAAGTTTTGCATTCCTGAGTTACTTGATGATTCCAGACGATGAAACACCTCAAAGGCCAATTGCACAAATGTTTTCTTTATCTCAATTATGGTACATGATTGAATTAGGCAACACTAAATCACATAAACACAGAGGAGAGAGAACTGAAAATTCAAGCAGTACAAGTAAGGTTCAACTTTTGAGGTGACAACAAAAGCAGGCTCATGCACATAGATGTGAAGGAACAATGACAGCATAACACTTGAAAGGCCACAAACAAAAGACTAAACTACTAATTAAGAAAAGTGACAGCATAATCCACATTACACATTCAAATTTCATCTAATAAAAACTCCAAGTTATTGGAACAAACGATTTTTGTTCAAGGAACTTGACATTTATATGAAGTATTAGACAAGATTACCAACCGGCATCTGAGGCAAGGTAAAGAGCAGCCATGGCGATATCCCACTTCTCGCCAACTTTATATAGAGGCATATAGTCTCTGGCTTTGCTGTTTATCTCTTGAGGCACGAGCTTACTCATCCCAGTAGTATCTCCTATAGGACCTGGTGCAATACCATTAACTCTGATTTCATAGTCAGTACCCCACTCCAGAGCTAAATTTCTGGTGAGGGCATCAACTGCTGCCTGGAAGACGGACCCCGTTGATCAGAAAATCTTAAGCAAGTCAAACTCTCTTTATAGCAAGAACGAAATCCACAAACCTTGGCTGCAGATACATGGATTTGATACCAAGATGCCGTGTAATGCAAAGTGGCACTGATGTTCAATATAAATCCTCCACTAGATGAGTCCCTTCCAGGTCCACCTTTCTTAAGATACTTGAGTGCTTCGTGACACATTGTAAATGTACCAACAGAATCGATATCCATAACTACAGAAAGTAATTACATCTTCAAACATTTAGATAGCTTTCAAGAATACTTCAAGCTAATGCTATAATCAAGTAGAGATATAAAGATGATATGTTATCTATCATTTCAGAAGAATCAAGGAACCCGTTCTGTAAAAGTATTTCCAAGGTAACAGATGCTGTTCACAAATTTATTTGATCATCACTTTAAATTATTGGCTCTCTTCACAAAGTATTATCAAATGGGAGGGACGGTGAGCCTTATTTTTAACAATTGATTGTGGTCTCAGTCTGTCTCAGATGAGGCATTATTGAATTCAATACAGTTTAAGGAATGATACGAATTGTGTCAATCATTTGAAGGAGCCTAACCAATTCAAGAATGAATGAATCAAAAGCTGAAGAAAGGATTGTTAGCAGTTTCCAAAGTTGGACCTGTTTTGAAGCCATTAGGAGACAGATCCTCAGCTGACACGAGAAAATTGCCAGCAGCAGCATTGACAAGAATGTCAAGTTTCCCAAAACGCTTGACAGTTGCTTCCACTACTCTTTTTGCATCCTCCTGTTTTCGAACATCTCCTTCAAGCCCAATTGCCTGGAAATCATAACAATCAATAACCAGAAAACATAATTGTGGGATAGCATATTAATTCTACCCACTAATAAAAGCCACGATCATTGACAATTACCAAGGTTTCCCTTTAAGAATCCCACTCCATCCAATACCAGCAGTTCTTTTTCGATTATTATTTTTTGAATTATTAATTTTCTAAAGACAGTAACACTGCTAAATGCAACACCATCTAAGTATCCCCTTTTCGGTAAAAAGGACAAAAGGAGATTCAATTTCGATCAATTTCCAACAAGGAAACTAAGAAACGACAGTAAACTTTAACTCACAAAATAGAGCAGATGGGAAAAAAGGCTCAACGGTTTCTCAAACAAATTCAGGGCAATTGCACTCTTTTACGAAGTTATTGAGAACGTAATGCGTCCAATAAGGTGGAAAAATAAATAATTTACCGGGATTCCGAGGGATTGCAGGGCGGAGACGGCGGAGTCAAGAACGCTCTTCCGGCGACCCATAATAGCGACGGAAGCTCCATGTTTTCCGAACTGGGTTGAGATCTCGAACCCGATACCCGACCCACCTCCAGTCAATAATGCTACTTTGCCTTTCAATAAATTTGCCTTGAAGGGAGACTCCATTTCCATTGACCCGAATGCAGGATGCTGATGGATCCTACTATGCAAAGCCAATGAAAGGGGAATGAGACACGATACAACGTGCCCTACTATGCAAAGCCAATAAAAGGGAAATGAGACACGACACTATTCATTAATTTACTCATTCATCATTAGGGTCACCAAAATATAAATGGTTACGGAATGAATGGCCATTGAATTTTCCAATTGGTTACCACTTCCTCACCAAAATATAAATGGTTACGGAATGCTCATCCAACTATTCATTAATTTACTCATTCATCATTAGGGTCAATTCCGTATATGCATGTGGACAATAAACTACACGTGGAGGATTAAAAAAATGACGTGGCAATAACGATGTTAATTGAATACACGTTGGATAAAAACACAATGGGTAAAATAGCAATTTTAGTTCCATTGAGCAATTCCTTCCAAATTTTCTCCCACATCCCAAAATTCGATCTTATTCACCACCCATTTTCTCTTTTGGGAACCATCTGCAATAGAGAAGAATGAATTCTGTTTTTTCTCCATTTAAGGTTTCTTGAATATTTCAGTCTGAATCTGTTTGTTTTTTAACTAACAAAATGAAAATGAAACCTTGTTTCTTAATTTTATGTCCATTTCTTTGTATTTTGGTGTTAATTTCTTCAGTTTCTTCCTCCAACTTTAAGCACCAATTCATCTACATGTCCCATGGATCTTGGTTATGTACTCAGATTTCCAATAAGCCCCTCCAAATCCTAATTCAACCCAACAGATTTCTCTTACTTCCGATGATCCCACTGCTGGAAAACGCGAGTGCTACCAGACCCTCATTTCCCTTTATGGCATAGGACTGTCACAGCATCTTAAAGAGACTTCTCTTTTTGAACTGCACAATTTGCCAACTTCCATTTCTTGCCTTGAAGATTTCCAATCCAAGTTGAATTCTCTTTTTCTCCTACAAAATCTAGGGTTCACACCGATACGGAATGAACTAGGCACGACTAAAAAAATTAATTCATGGGAGACGTAGATATAGAACTTGGATATGGATTACAAAGCTGGGATCGCCAATAGATTGAATTAGTTTGAGGATGTGATTTGGAGATGAAAGTGAGTTGGGGATGAATATTTCAATCTCTCTTATAGAACTTTGATTTTATCCGTCTAGAAACCTTATTTCAAATTATACAATTTTGGCTATTTAGAGAATAGCAAATTAGAGTACGTGGAAATGATTCATCAGCCACGTCATTTTTTATCTTCACGTGAAATTTATTGTCCAACTATATAAACGGAATTGGCTCTAATGATGGATGGGTAAATTAATGAATAGTTGAGTGAGCATTCGGTAATCATTTATTTTTCGGTAAGCAAATGGTAATCAATACTAAAATTCAGTGGCCACTCGTTTAATTAACTCACATTGGGTTGTGAACTGTCATTTCTGTTTTGAATGATGCGTAGCAAATCTAGTCGACAGTGGGTCTATTCATTTACTGTGTAATGAATAAATATTGAATAATGCAATCTAGTTTCTGAGCAACAATTTAAAGGGGGTGTTTGATGGATATTATTGAGAAAAGAATGTATTCTAAATAGTATATCATGGAAAATATGTGGTTAAAAAATAAGGAAAGTTGGGCCATGTTTGATTGCCACATTTTTCATAAAAAATGTCACATTCGAGTAAAACGAATTCTATTTTGGCCGTTTGATTACAACGTGAAAATGGAAATCGAATTTCAAAGTACAACCACTTTAAATTACATTTTCTTTGTTTTCACGGAAAACGAATTCCTATGTGTTTGGTGAGTTTTTATTTTCCAACTAATATGGAATTTGAATTCTTTTTCACATTTGTCTATCAAACGGATCATTATTGATGTGATGAAAAATAATATTTTATTAAAAAATGTGTGGTTAAAAATTAGTTTTGAAAGAATGTATTTTGAGAAGATATGTGTCAAACAGAGTCTAAATATGAAAATGTGATAGACTCAGTTAAGGGGTATATTCAATTAGGACTTTTGAAAATTTAGATAGGCTCTTTTTAAATGATGACTTTCGTGGATTTCGTGAATTTTTTTTACAAATTTGTATGGAATTATTGGAAGTCTTTTGTAGACTGCTATAGACTTTTATTTAAAATTTTTATAGACTTTTGTAAAATTCTAGACGTTTGAACACTTTCATTTGAAATAAAATTCATGTGGATTTAGTACAATAGTTTGAAATTATCACATATGAGGTGGTGGTATCCACAATTCTCATTCTCCCTCCCCTCCCCATATAATAAAAAAATATTATAAAAAAAGGAAAATTTAAGACTTTAATTAAATAAATAATAATAGTTATTATAATTATAAAAAATAAATTTAATATTCAGTATTATTAATATAATATACCTTTAAAGAATAAATAAAAAACGTATATTTAATTTTAATTATTAATTAATCTATATAAAATTTTATAATTTAATTAAAAACAGATACTTTTCACAAAAAATGAATGAAAAATGGGAAAAAAGTTATATAAGAATACAATTTAATTTTTTTCATAGAAAATAGAAATAAACAATAAGAGAGAGAAAGAAAAATAAAAACTAATATAATCAATAGAAAAAAATTTAATCATAACTCTAATGCTCGTAGAAGTAAAAAGGAAATAGAAATATTGAAAAAAATACATAGTAGTTTGTGTGTGTGTGTGTGTGTGTGTGTGTGTGAAAATCTTCCAAAATCTTGTAATTAATGAGAGATAAATTTTGAGATTTTATATTAGTACTTTCCGCATAAAAGTTAGTATTATGGAGACCTTTATAAAAGTCTCTAAAAGTTGTTAAAATTTAAATACCTCAAACTTTATATGAACTTCTAAAAAGTTTTAATTGAATACACCGTAATTTTTAGAAACTTTTTAAAAGTTTATCAAAATCTCAATTGAATACACCAATATTTTTTTTAGAATTTCTAAAAGTCTATATTGAATACCCTTAAACTTTTTAAGTTCCAAAAAATCATTAAAAGTCTCAAATGAATACACCTCCCTACAGGTGGAGTTATGTGATTCATTTAATTGTATCTATCATTTAATTTCACCTAGGTACCACCAGTGTTGTAATACTAGTGATGCTAAGTAACATTAATCTTTCTCATAAATATTACCTTTTAATATATATGTTTCTAGCTACACAAGAAAATTGGGCTAAAATGCACTTGAAGTCCGAAAGATTTTATTTCTAACCTATAGAGTCATAAGCATTTCAAGCGTATATGCTTGAATTCCTATTGTGATAGACCATAAAAAAGTCGAAATTTGAGTAAAATGGCAAAACTTTTTTAAATCTTAATCTGATTTAAAACAAATTCATAAAGAAAATAAAAGAAAAAAGCAACCAAAAAAGTGAAAAAACAAGACAAAAATAAAAGATAAAAGTTGATCATCACATTTCTTTGTTTTTACGACAAGATCGTCTATGTAGCATTCTACGTTCTTATG